AAAAACCTGTTCTGAAAGTACAAAAATAACAAACAATCGATGACTGCAGAATTAAATTTTCAAAAAGAAAGGTAAACTCAATAAGTTCCGGGCTTTTTAGCCTGTCGTGAAGACAAAACTATCCATGGATCACCGAAATTTCAGTAAACCTAAACGAACACTCTATTTAATAATCTGCATCTCATTCCTTAACAGTAAACACAGCAACTGGAGGCACCACATAAAGCAGTCAAAAACTTTCTCATTGCTTCAAAACAGAAAAAAACTAATGTAAATCTGACAAAATCGGACACATGTACGAAAACTGATTACCGAAGATAAGTAGAAGAAACCCATAGGATAATGTAGCTTATCAATGAAGTAGTCACTTCCAAGCTTCTTGGCCCTTTGAGTATAGGCGGCACCACAGAAACCATCAAAAAAGTCCCCAGAAGCCATGAAAAAGCAAAACTTCCAGCCCTGAACATGATATTACAGACAATTCTTAGCAAAGAGACATCAAAATAACCATCAACCAAAACTAAAAACATAATAACCAAAAGAAACTTGGATATTTACTTTACAACTACAAGTTACATCTTGGGTTTGGCCTTTTGTACAAAATTCACAGTTTATCTTTCATAGTTTTGCATTTTGCAACAATATGATCATAAAGTAGATATATACTATACTCCATCACCGTCGAAACAAAAATCGATTTTTTTTTTTTTGGAAAATGTAAAGAACTTACCCATAGAGAAATGCCCATAACTTGCTCTTCAGCCGATCATAAATAAAATACATAGTAACCAACAAAGAGACAGCAACTTGAAGAGTAGGTCCATCTTCAGTCGGGAAGAGAACAGTGAGGGCCCCGAGTGCTATGAAAGCAATTGAAGTCTTCACGATCACATTAGTGGCCGGGGTTCGAAACCTGCTGGCGACAGCCTGGACATATTTGTGCTGTGTTACCTCTCGAACCTTTTTCTTGACGTTGATCTTAGGGTTCTTCCTCTCGTGAAACTTCTGCATTATGATTTTATCGTGTGCCGACTCGATTGCATCCACGCTTGGCTTGTGGGCCCCGTAAGTTTGTATCAAGAAATTCCTTGCAGATTGGATCTCTTCTTCAGAGGCTTCTCGGCTGATTCCTAGCCGCTTGTAAGGGTCTCGAATATGGATTCTAGGAAATATAGCTGTGAAGTGGGTAGTAAAAAAGAGATGGATATTGAGAAATAGTGAAATACTACTCTCATTGGTCATAAAATCTTTTCACAGTGTCGAAACAAGAATGACATCAGAAGCCATTGCATTAGACAATGAATAAATTAACTTTTTTTATATTGGTTATCGATTAGTCCATGATATACAATAACAAGTTGGGAATGAAATGTCTGAAGCCAGAATATCAACGCTGAAAAATGACTACCGATTCTATCAGAGTTCTTTTTAAGAGTTCCAGTGCCAGTCCAGGACTTTTCATGTAAGATTCGTAAGTTGAGCAAGAGCTATGAATAATTCACAAAACAGTATGTAGGGAGGTAAAACAATTGCTGCTCTCGACTCATTATGATTACTTGCAATTATTTTTAAAGATTTTCCCAATCCTTTAGGAAGGCATCATCAAATATTATCCTGAAGTATAATAATTCATTAGTGGCTGAGAAAATATCATGATTCTGCATAATTAAAATTTGCACATCTGTGCATTGGACCAATTAAACATACTCTTGGGGGTTGGCTAGAAAATAAAAAAATATACAAATTATCATTAGACTGGGCTAATATGGTAAAGGCTCATAATCTACACTCCCAACTGAAGACTCACTTACTAGAATGTGACCCTGAGATAAAGGACAAAAGAAAATAAAGATTAACCGCCTTTTGCTGTTCAAACTGAATAGCTCTTCTACAATCTGAAGCTTAATTGTCTTAACTAATGTAACTACTTTTACAACAAACTAATAAATTTTTTGCAAACAAACTATTCAAAGGACCACCAAGAAATCAGCAATCAGATATCAACCCAAACGATGTAAACAAGAAGCGGGCCAATTTTTACAAAACAAAAGATAACAGATTTTTTTTTACCAGTCGAATCATTAGCAGCATCGCCAAATGTTGAATCCATTGCACATTTCACGCAAGGAGTGGTTTGCTTATGTCTCCATGTTGTTGAAACCAAACCATTTCTACATGATTTTCAACACCGGCAATCAGTAACAACGAATAATGTATGCAGAGGATTCACAAACTAATTAACAAGATGTTACCTTTGCGGACAGAGTCGATCGACAGACACACCAAGATTACGAAAGAACATAACTTGCTTCTTGTGTGACCCAAGACCTCTTGCAGGCAAACCAAGGCTACATCTCAAAGGGCTATAACTTAATCCAGATGTCATCTTTGATACGCAAAAGCAACAAATATTAGCTAAACTCAGCCACTCTGGAGCTAGTCTATGCAAAGAGTGAAAGTCTGCAGCACACCGAATAGAAAACAAGAAAAAGGGAGTTTATATTTGGAACCAACATAACCTAAAGCTGTTTATTAGAATAAAAATAGATACATTCTAATGATATGAATATACATTTTCAGCATAAAAGACAGATTTGGAACATAAAATTCCAGTTGAAAAAAGAAATGCAGAAATTCCTTTGTCCTAAAGAAACAATACACTTCAAAAGAATTGTGAAAAGCTTTAATTTGTTGATCAAACCTTACACTAAATCCTTACAGCAAGCTACCAATGGCTCATTGTACATGTGACGAGGATAACAGGCAGATAAAAATCAAAGAAAAATGAAAACAAGATAATTTGCTATCACATTAATCACTCAATCTTGAAGTAACATTCCCAGAGTTGGAGCTATTATTATTTCCTAAGAAATGCAGAAACAAATACCAAACGTACATTAAAAAGTTAGTGAATAATGACTCCGCAAACCCAGTTCTCCTCTAATGCTACAAATTGGTCCTTTTAGAAACCTATCGACAAGAGGTGAACATATAATAAGGAAAAACAAAAACAAGAAAAAGAAGCAGGACCTGCTTGCTCAAATTCTTTCGGCTAGCTTCAATTAACTAATAAAAAAAAATAAAAATCAGTAACTATAGACGAAAGAAAAATAATCGAGAAGAATCGCACAAGTACCTGAAGCAGAGAAGAAAGTTTTCTTCAGTGGATAGAAGCTAGCGAGACTGGAGTACACCAATGGAGAAGGGTTTTTTTAATTTTTTTGTATATCAATATTTTAACCTTACACTATAACATCAATCCGTTGTAGTCTAGGTGGTTAGGATACTCGGCTCTCACCCGAGAGACCCGGGTTCAAGTCCCGGCAACGGAACTTTTTGTTTCTTTTTTTTTTTTCTGAAAAAAACTCGTGGTCTATATTTTAACCGGCCCGGGCCCAATGAGGGTTTTGACCTTAAAAGTTAAATCATAAGTTGCTCCTCTTTTCTTAAAAAAAGAAAACAAAAAACTTTTCATCTATATTTTAACAACCGGCTAGGGTCAATGAGAATTTTTTTTATTCTTTTGTCCGTATGCCTTAGGAAGTGTTGTTTATAAAATTACTTCATCACAATATAAGTCAACTTTAACATAATCTAATAACCTTCAATATTATCATTATAATTAAATAACAACAATCAATCATTCTTACACATCTCATCAACTTTAATTTACTATTCATTATAATTAAATAACAACAATCAATCATTCTTACACATCTCATCAACTTTAATTTACTATTCATGCACTTACATAATTTTAACTAATCATCACTTCACATCATCTCTCTTCATTTTTACATCAAATCAATTTTAATATAAACTCAAAATCCTATTAGCAATTATTCATATACCTTTTCAAATTTAACCCTAATTAACTAAAAATACTCGTTTTAAGCGGATATATTTGTATTCAAGCACGCCATTGTTTCCCAAATAGCAAACACTTTAATAACTAGAAAACTCAAAAAGAATACAGAGAACGTGTCAACTGACACCAAAGAATCAGATAATTTGGACCTACCCTCTTAGAACTCTATATGATTTTAAGGGGTATAACTCCATCAAGGAGCCAACCGCAAAAACAAAACAAAACTCCATTAAGTAAACTTAAACTTTACAAAGGAGACTAAAGTCAAACGAAATTGGACTAACAAAACGAAAAACAAAGATAAACGCACATCTAATGTACAAATAAACTAAGACCTCCCTTACACTTGACAGACCCAACGCACGACTACCTGAGTCAGCACACGAGTCATCCCCATTAGCACAGAGATCCAACAAAACAGCAAACTGAAACATCAAACTCGAAAATTGTGACCACTTGTGCCGCCTAGACGAATTTGATGAAGATCCAATTCTTGATTCACATTTGGACTCTAAAAAATCTACCAGGACAGAGGAGGGCGGGAGCCGCAACTAAGCCATCGGAAACCCTGCCGGAGGGCTCAAAAAATAGTCCAAACGCGCAGTCGAGCCACACCCTTGGACACACCACTAAAGAACACGAATCCAGATGCAACAACAGGAACGAATTCTAGATGTTGGGGGCTAGACGCTGACGACCAGCGACTCTACCTTAGTCAGAGAGATGCGAAGCGGCGAGCACCAACCCCGACCAAGCATCTGCAAGACCTCGGAAGAGTCGGAAAAGATCCCCCAACTCCGACTCAGTGGAATCCGGCTCCGAAAGCACAGCGGCAGGTCATCGGTGGAGGAGGGGCAGCGAATTTAGAAAAAAAAAACGGGCGCTCGTTTTTTCAGATTTGAGGGAGAAGAGGGGTGCGTCCCCTCGCGAGTGTTGTCAATTTTTTCCACTACGAGTATAACTTTGCCAAGCACACCCTTAATGCTTTCATTTTTAACCGACAAGATCCAATGATTTGTTCAACTTGGACAATATTTTTTTTAAACCTTTTGTATCTATAACTACATAAGCATGCACTTCCAATTGTTAGGACATGAATAGAAAAAAAGGTTGAAACTTTAGTTTGTAATTTTCTTGCAATGGCAGACCGAGAATATGTGTGGTCACAACTAAATAAATGAGTATAATGTAGCCTTTCAAATAACACACGGTCCATCCCCAATTTTCCCTATATTATGTTTCGAGTTTATGTTCTGCTGGATTTGTGTTTATAGTAGCCTTTCAAAGAACATAAACTCGAAACATCATAAAACAGATGCAAATGTTTTATGTAGTAAACGGATGAAACATCATAAAACATATACATGTTCTTTGAAAGGCAACATTATACTCAAATATTTTCATCTGTTAATATCTTTCAGCAGTAAACTCAAATAGGGGCAACAAAGATTTTCCCTATAAATGTCGGGGGCTTTTGCGTTTCTGAATGTGAACTGGATTTGTGTTTATTTTATAGTACTAAACCATTGGGGTAGTTTGGCTACAATACATAAACAATAAGGGTGTTGCCTTGTTGGTGCATAACTGCTCTGAACAAGTTGTATGGACCGACACTGCAGTAACAAGTAAAATCTATAATCGCACTGAAATTACAGGCATGCAATATGAGAATAGAAGAAAACTCAAAACAAACATAATACATTCCGTCTGATTAGTAAAACTTCAAAGAGCAACTTTTGCTGTTATCCTTGTATGAATTCTAAACTCAGTCCAAGGAATTTTTCACTCCCTCATGAAAAAATGCCAAGCAAGGATGTTAGGACAAAATCGAAACTATGACCAGGGAAGAAAACAAAAAGTACTTCAATATTGTCAAGGAGCGCGATCAAAGGGCTTAGTGTCGTTATAACAAGTATCCCAAACAGCTTCCATTGCATCCTTTGCTGCTGCTTTCGAACAATGTGGATTTGCACTCACTGATTTCATCACTCTTCGCTTAACACAATCCTACTCACACACGCACGCGTCATCACATAAGGCAAAATGCAAAGGGCCATTAAAAGAATATAAATAAAAAACAGAAAAGCAGCACTCAAGGAATCTAGTAATTAGTATGAGGTGAAACTCACTTGCTCATGACCTCTTATCTTCATATAGCCACGAAGTAATTCCCTTTTGTAATGGCAATCTCCACTAAGATGGCCGGCTCGTATCTACTCCCATAGGCGAAAAGAATTGTANATAAAGATTAAAGATTATAACCTCACTGCAAGCAAGGTGAGCACAGTCAGACCAGTCAAAATTCGCAGCACGGCATTCATCGTACGCGTGAATAAGTTCGTGAATCACCACTTGGGTTACCTCATCTTGAAGTTGCAGATGATTACTACAAACTACTATCTAAGACCACAAAAAATTATATGAGATGAGGAATCATATATTTCCTATTTACACAAAAATAGAAAAAAAAATAAAATTAAATGCTACTCATACAGCAAGTCCTAGCTTTACCCAAGGAACACAAAAATACTTTGGCAATAAGCAAAGCAAGCTTTTTTTCTTTTTCTTTTTCTTTTTCTTTTTCTTTCTTAAATGAATTTCCCCCTTTTCCATAGCAATTTAGGATTTCAAATTTGCACTTGTAAACTAAAAGAGCAATGTGTTGTAACTCAATTTACCCCTTCGCCTCTAACATAACCACCGGCAGTCGCTCCATGACAATGGCTGGCCTTTATGAAATTGCTGCCAATATGACATCCTGATTTCTCCAGGTGTTCCTTCAGAAATTTCACCTTGGGAGCTGCATAAAATGCATCTAGGTTTAGGAAGTCATCGAATCTTGCAGTCAATAAATAGCAATAACTTGCTTGGGACTAAAAGGCTATGTTGTTGTTGTCGTAATAACTGAATAGTACTTCTGAGACTTTTCTGGATCATATTCTCGCATTCCTCAACAGTCATGCCAGGTTTTGGCTTTGAACCAGGCCCAGCCGCCATGAGTGCCTGGTATTAATCTGCACATATTATTGAAGTTAAGATTTTTGTCAATTTAATTACAATTTTGCTTCTCAAAATGCAAGCTGGATGACGATTTTGGTTCTGTTCTGCTTTTATATTCCGAACTACAAAATAGAAGTTGTGGAGAACATGTTAAAATGTACTATTATGCTCTAGTACTAAGTTTTACATGACAAGGGAGAAAGTGTCCAGTAACACCAAGTAGGTTACAAAGAACATAGACCAGGAACCTTTTATATAACCAAAGCTGTTCAGAAAAATAATAACAGTACACCAGTAATAATGGGTCTCATATAATTTGCTAACTGATAAACACGTCCACTTGTTAAGCCGAAAGGGAAAAATAACACACACTGAGAGAGTAACAAAGAGATACAAGTCGGATCAAATACAAACTTGAAAGAAAATAACCAGTGATCACAATTATATTAGCATTAGAAGCTAATAACATTAAGAAAGAGAGTGAAAAAACTCTCAGGTTTCTCAACCTTTAAACAAGAATTTATCAGCCATTATAGGCAATTGGCTCATTAAGAGAACCTATCCACAAAAGTTCTTCTCCTTCTAAAATTCTCCCATGTGCTTTCCAGATGAATTATGCATGATCACAGAAGAAAAATATATACACAAGAAATGAATCAACCAAAAGGTATTATCTTGTCATTTCATTTTCTTTAATCTTGACAAGAGAAGAATATAGCTTGCTTCTTGTGTAGCCAGAGCTCTTTCATGGAAACCCAAGGCTACATCTGACGGGCCACAATTAATACAGATGACATTGCTGATAAGCAAGTAACATATATTAGCAAAACTCAGCCAGCCTGGAACTAATTTATGCAAAGATTGAAAAGTTTGCAGCACACCAAATAAAAAATAAGAAAGGAGAGCCTATATTTCAAAACCAACATATAACCAAGCTGTTTGGAAGTTACATAGCTATATGCTGATGATATTGATATACATTTTCAGCTTGCAAAACCAAAACAGTATGGCAGGTGTTAGAAAAAAAATAAAAATGCATTGAATGCATGTCCTATAGCGACTATTGGCGCATTCTACATGTTGAGAGGAAATTAGACAGATAAAAATGGT